TGCTTGTCCCTCATGCCTGTTTTTTGTAGGATTCCCCCCCCCCCCCCCCCCCACTACATTGAATGTTTCCCCTAGTAGAGCAAGTTTGTGTGTAACCTAACACACAAGTCAGTCTTCTTTACACTAAAGTCTAGAGAGAGCAAGAGTTCTTTAAGGCATTAATTGATGCCATCTTACTGGCCTAGTACAACAAGTCGTGTTTTTCACTGTCAGTTTGCAAGATAAGGGTAGGGGTTCTCTCACTGTCCCCTGTGCACTGACATAAGAAAGCTGCTCAAAATCTACTTCACAATGTCGTCGATCGATATAAAAACACAAATGCAAGGACTGTGTGAAACTAAGGGCCATACATATCTGTATTTTGCTGTGAGGGAGCACAACATCAGCAGCCCTCAAAAGACAGATTGAAAGAAAGGATAAGATATGCAAGATACTGGAGCTGATGTGTAAAAAGGTTGATTTATTTATGATTTATATTCACATCCGGCAACTTATGACTGCAAAAGGTACCTCACAGGAAGAATATTTTTTGTATCCGAGTTTCAGTCACACAAACTCTTTTTGCAAAGATAAATGTTATTATTCAAAGCAGATCTTCTGCCTGAAAATAATTGAACACTGTATTTAGTATGTTGACAGACATACGTATACCGTAGGTAGGCTACTATAATATTGTAGGACTCAACTTAAAGTAAACTTGAGTAAACTCCAACATATAAAGTAGGTCAGTTAGCAGCAGTAGTAGTAGTAGTAGTAGTAGTAGTAGTAGTAGTAGTAGTAGTAGTAGTAGTAGTAGTAGTAGTAGTAGTAGTAGTAGTGTAGTAGTAGTAGGCTAGTAGTAGTAGTAGTAGCAGTAGTAGTAGCAGTAGAAATAGTAGTAGTAGTATCATGATGATATAGGCTACAGTAGAGATATTACTGGTGTTTAATACAAAATAAAGTGTATTAAATGTACATAGGCTACTATGGAGCACTTCATACACCACAATGTCCAAACTAACCAATTCATTTTCTATTGACTCACTTGCAGCCTGTGCTTACAACCTTATAAACTTATAAATACACAACAACCTCAGTTAAAAGCAGTGGCGAGCCGTCAGGGCCCTCTAGGCCCTCTGTGAGGGCCTAAGATATTCCAAAAAATAATATTTAAAAACATTAAAAAAAAATTTTTTTTTTAAAAATATATATCTTTTTTATATTATTTTTGTTATATTTTTCATTAGTTTTACGGAAAAAAAACTTGATTTAATAAAATAACATTTCCAAAGAAATAAATCCTTCGAATCTGCCTGTTCGGTCTCTGTTTGAATGTGAAGGGTTACATGAAAGAAGGTCTGGCCCTCTCTGCGATTCACAGAGGGCCCGCAATAGTAACTGAACGAGAGAGTAATGTCAAATGACAGTACAATTGACCAATCATATCTTCCCTCTAAATGGGTGGGTTTCATTATCGCGGACTTTATGACAAGTTCCGCCCGCTGTGAAACTTTTCTTGTTTCCAGAGGAACAACAACTTCCTGTCAACAGCGTGAACTCGCCTTCAAAATAAAAGCATGCCAAATTACACGTAAGACATACAACTGTAACGAAAGTAACAAACACAATGCAATATCATTTTCAATGTCAAAGAACACAAATTGGGTTCACAGGTGTTGTTTTGTGTGGTAGAGGGTCGCTGTCATTGATGCGTTTTGCACCCTGGGCCGTTGTTTTGATATTCCGCTGAAGTATACGCTGTGACGTAATAACTATTTTTTTCCTTTTTTTCGAGGGAAGGGGTGGGGGTCAGAGGGCCTAGGTATAAAGCTCACGGCTCGCCACTGGTTAAAAGAGATAACACTCCAACAATTATTATAAAGCCATTATCATTAAACATTCTGACGCTTCTTATAGAATCAACAGTAACATTAAACCACGAAAATCTCCATAGCGGAGAGGCACTGTTTTATAAATATAGTTTACACACACACAATGCTACATTGATACACAGTGGTTGTCAACGTTTTTTCAGGAGAGTTCATAGACATGTTGTGTTGTTGTACTCACGTCTGAACGTCACTCTTCAAGTCTTCCTCACCGTGAATTATTCCTCAATCTTCTCCAGGATCAACTTCTCAGCCATATCAAGGTAAACGCAGAAGTCACCTGAAAAATCCACCATTAGCATGTTAGCATTTTAGCTACACATACACCTGTTGCTGCATTTGGGTCAATTAGCATGCTAGCCAGTTGGTAAACATACAGTATCAGTGATTAATTAAAGAAGATTAACCATACTAAAAGGTAAACCAAAATGATGCTAACCATAAAACGTGGTCCTTAATTTCATGTAATTGGTGTGTATTTGTTTGTAGGCTAACTGCTCAGCTGTGTCACTGTCACCAACAAACATTAGCCTTTTTTTTTTCTCAAAAACTTTATTTACAAAAAGAGGTAGGCTAAAGCATACAGAAATGAGCATGACAGCATTACTATTCCAGAGTACCTTAATTTCAAGTAATTTAAGAGTTAATAAAAGATACTTACCAATGTATTAAAAGTGAGTAGTTTTTGTTTGGTTCTTCAACTTCGTCTTGAGTTAGATTAGGGGTTGTGGAATATAATAGGCTAATATATTGCTATCCACTCCATAGAAAACACACTTTAACTTATTTTTAAATGTAGATAATATATTGCTATCCACCCAATAGAAAACACACTTAAAACTTCTGTTTAAATAACTTCAGATCCTATGTATTAGCTCTGCAGACCTGTTAGTAATCCGCTTTAAATAGTCCCACTCTTTACACCTGAGTCTCTTTTACACGAAGCAATTATTACATGTCATTTGTTAGACGCTTTTATCCAAAGCGACTTACATACATTCAGTACTGTGGACAATCCCCACAGGAGCAATTTGAGGTGAAGTGTCTTGCCCAGGAACACAACGACATGCTGACTGCAGTGGGCCTCGAACTTGCTACTCTCTGATTCGAAGTCCAGCACAATACCCACTGAGCCACAGCCTCCGCAATGCTCCTAAAAAATTATATTCTGCATACCGGTTCTAAAAGAGTACATGTTTGTAGTCATAGTATTCATTGTTAGACATTGCCATGCTTTTACAGTAACTACACTTGTATCTCAGCTTGATATTTGTTTTACATTAAAAGTTAGATTGGAAAAGCATATAAAGACAAAGTATTACCTTGAAGTTGGGCAATAATGTCATTAAAACTGCATAGGAGAGTCTTTAAGTAAATGCCGTACTTTTTGGGGACTTTGTGGTACATGGACAATAGATGAGAATTGGACTAAGTTAGGGTTATATGTGGCCATTTGTGATTAATGCAAGGGAGTTTGTTACCCTGGAAAATCTGACTCTGTGTCATTGACAGTCTGATGAGTAAAGGGCTGTTGGATGAAAACGCTGCACGTTAAAAATAAAGTGATAAATTATTCTGTCACTAAAGATGATGAACTCTGGGGTGATTTGATTAATTGAGCTATTTTTATTAATGTAACTACTCTTGTCATTTATCACTTCCAAATCCTCATTTATCACATAACTAATTAAGGTCTATCTTCATATCTTAAGAAAGTGCAGTTTTTAAACTTAACTAAGTAAACTTTTTAGTCATGATGTGTCATTATTTTTGTGTAATTTTTTTTGTGTGTTTATATATTTGTGTAATGATCTTTATATATATTTTTAAGAAAAATTCCTGTACACTTCATGAATTTCACCAGAAGAAGGTTCAGGTCAGAGAATTTAATAAATAAAATGAGTACAAATAATCAAAGGGGTGTCGGTTTAATTAACCAGTTCAACAAGAATAGGTCATAAGTAGTCCTACAGTACATGTCCTTTTTAAATGAAGATAGTGATATCATTGATACTTATCAGAGTAATAAATAAGGTGAGTAAAGGGAATTGATGACGCCATAAACCTGTCTACAAAACCTTGTTGCGGAATAGTTGGTGATATTAGTTTATATATATATATCATAATAATAATTATAATTGTATATATCTAAGCACAAAATGTAGAGTAAAATGAAAAAAAGTAACCCCCCCCTGTATGACATGCACAAATTCAGAACCTGAGAGCACATAAGAGCAGATAATACAAACCTTTGAATTAAATGAATAATAAACGTGCAAGAAAGAAAGAACGTGCAAAATATAATATAATAAATTATAAAAGTGCATATAAAATTCCGATGTATGATATTAAAACAAGCACCTAATATATGTGTAATGACGATTAAGTAAAATAAATGCAAAATAGACATTTAAAGTGGATTTATTAAGTGATGTGGTACTAAAAATAGAAAACTGTGTGTGTGTTTTAAAGGTCCCCTATTATACTGTTTTTCATCAATATACTGTAGGTCTCAGATATACACAGAACATGTCTCTGATTGGCTGAAATATCAAACAGATCATTGCAACATCCCATAATCCCCTCTGTTTCAGCCCTGTTTCAAAAGTGCTGATTCTCCATCTGTTACTTTAGATGAAAATAAGGAGCCACTCCCCACGCCCCTCTGAGAGATATCTGGTTAAAAAGAACACAATGGTGCTCTAAGAGGAGATTCAGGTGATAAGGGGGGGGGGGGGGGGGTGATTGGCTAATGGTTACACAAGCCAAAAAATCGTTATGACATCATAAAGTGGCCAAAATCTGATCAGCTCATTTTCAGACAGGTTTTTATATAAATGGATCAGGACAAAAAGTGAGAGAACCTTTTTTCCTGAAACGTTCAGAGTCTCTTTACACAGAGGGGACAGATGTTGATGTAGAAGAGACATGAAGAAGAGGGGACACATGTTTATGTATAAAAGACAGGAACAAGTGGATTTTGCATAATAGGTGACCTTTAAGGAGGCCCTTGCAGCGGGTTCTGCATATCTACAGCGCAGAGCCATATAAATCAGAGTGTGATAACAATGGGAGGGATGTGTGGATGTTGGGTGTGTGCACTGAGAGTGGGAGGGACACTTTGAGTTTCAGGAAGAGAGCAGCACCTGTCGGAGTGAGACTCACAGCAGAGTGAAGGACTGCACTGCTCCACGTCACAGGAAAACATGCAGAGTAAGTCCTAATATTACATGTTTTTAACTAATGATTACTTCTTCTTTACACGTGGTATGCCTTGAGTGTATACGTTTATTAACAGTTTATATAGGTTGTCCCATAGAAGAGTCACAAACAGACATACAGTACATCTCGGTGTTTGATTTGTTACGGACATTTTCAACAATAATAAGTCACTACTTGTTAAATAGTAACAAACCATAGCAAATGTTTACTTTGACAAAGCTGTACCCTGTGTTATTTTGTACAATTATTATTAAATGTCTGTAAAGCTATGAGCATGTGTTTGCTTGGAGAAAAAGAGGCATTTTTGAGAAAACACTTGTGTTATTTTAGCTGACTTAATGTCCTGGAATGATGCTACCTGTACATTAGTCATAAAAATGTGTCTGATTCAGTTTTTACCAGCGGCAAAAGTACAAAAAATAAACATTACGGTTGACAAATGTAATATAAAATAAATCTTACAAATATTCCCATTACTGAATACTGATGTTAAATATAGTCAAGCCTTTTAAAACCTAATTAAAAATGCCATCAGCAGTTGTTGTTTTTGTTGGATTTGTGTTTTCTTTTAAACCTGAAGCAGGTGCTGTGACTGTGAGGCAGCAGGTCCTGAGTTTCTGCATTCCTCAGATAGCTACTCTCTTACCACAGGACAGAGTGACGCTCTTAAACATACTTCCTGCTCGAGTAGAACAGCCTTGTGTTCACTGGTGCTGAATATAAACGGTTTTCTCTGCTCCTATGTGGCTCTTTATGATCAAACTCATAGTGCCAAGGGAACAATAACACTGACCTTTGACTCTGGAGTGAGATTAAGGCGTGTGGTTTGTGCGTTGGTGTTCGGATCAGGGGGTCACAGGTTCAAACCCCACTGCAGTCAGCATGTCGTTGTGTCCCTGGGCAAGACACTTCACCCCAAATTGCTCCTGTGGGGATTGCCCACAGTATTGAGTATAAGTCGCTTTGGATAAAAGCATCTAACAAGTGACATGTCATGTAATGTAATTAAGGGTAACAAGGCCATTTCTCTCTCTGGGAAGTAAAGAGCTTTACTTTAGTCATTTGTCATTGACACTGTTGGGGTTTAACTCATGGTTCCCATCCAATATCAGGATAGTGTGCACAAAACCCAACCAATACCCTTGTTTTCAGTCAAATATTAAACTTAATCAGTAAGTGCAATAGCTATGCTGTCCTGAAATCCCCTCTGAGGCAGTTTCACAGCAATTCACACTTCTCCTCTCATGCCCCTGACATGAATGACACTTAAGTGGCTCATACATGACATGAAAGGCGTGAACGACCCTCTTGTGCTGGTGGCGAAAAAAGCACAAAAAGATCCAAATGTAGTATTTCTAGATATATTGTAAGAGTGCTGGAAATCTTTGCAAACACATGTGGAAAGGAGGTTCATTTTGAAGCGTGAAACCTTGTTGTGTTTTCCTTTTGTCACCCTTGTGTAGAACTCTGTCAAGAAACATCATTTTGGATTTAAATAGCACAATAACTATATGTTATTCTGTGTACTATGTGTACTGTATATGTAGTCTATAACAGCTGTTTGGCATTGAACATTCTCCTTGAAAAGTGGTGGAATTTCACCTTGGAAAAACCCTCCATACATTTATAGAGATTTTAGCAGATGCATGGACTCAGGTCAAATTACTTTACCCAAATTGACAACATCCTAAATATTTTAACCATACTTGGACTTTAAAACCAATGACTTGTGTATTTTGACCTAAATACATTTCTACAATCCCAATAATTTAAAAAGTATGTTACGTATCCACTTACATTAGTGCTATTTAACCCAGCAAGTCAACATTCATTTCCAAGAACCACTTTATTTGCCCGAATCCAAACAGTGTCCATCATGTTATAAAAACACTCAATAAGGCACTTGTTGCCAAAACAAAAAGAATTAGACCAATTATAACTTAGCTCACTTACAAAACTAAGTGTCAACAAAATAGTTAGTGTACTCATTTTTGATTGCAATACATTATTTTATTTCATATTCTGTTCTTGTACATATCATATTCTATCTACATGTACATAGACTTTTTCTATGTGTGTGTGTGTGTGTGGGGTCTACTACTTTAGGACTCAAAACTCAAAGTTTAGGAACTGGGACTTGACTCAGGACTTGTTCATCTCTGGCATTATAACATTAACATTAAGCTGTCTCTTTTTCTGCTGGGACTAATAAAGGTATTCTGATTCTGATTCTGATTGTACCCAAGCTTTGTGCATCTAATCACGTCCCTCGTGATTTGGTCCTCCTCCCTGCAGGCCCTCAGACCCCAGGCCAGGCGCTCTCTGAGGACCAGTTCAGCTGCTCCATCTGTCTGGAGGTGTTCGTGGAGCCCGTCACCACGCCATGCGGCCACAGCTTCTGCAAGGCCTGCCTGCTGGGCTACTGGACGCACAGCAAGAAGTTCACGTGCCCCATGTGCAAGAAGAGCTACAGCAGACGACCCGAGATGAGCGTCAACAGGGTCCTGGCCGAAATCTCCTCCCAGTTCCAGGGGCTGATGCTGGCCGGAGGAACTGGAGGAGCTGGAGGAGGATCGCGGGGATCCACCCTGAATCTGAGCTCAGATACGAGCCACGGCAGCCCCAGCACCACGGACAACGGGGAGTTTGCCCGGGCGGGGGAGGTTCCCTGCGACGCCTGCATCGGGAGGAAGGTGAAGGCTCTCAAATCGTGTTTGAACTGTCCTGGATCGTTCTGCGAAGTCCACCTCAGACATCATAAAAAGGTCTGTTTTTTGCTTCTTTAGGATTATGGCACTTTCATGGTTTTCATTAGCAATGCCTGTTTGTTTCTTTTGCAGTTGTTATCTTATTATTTAAACAGTTTTCCACTTTATTCATGTAAAAGTTGACAGCAATCCCATTCAATGTCTTCTTTTGGAGCTTCTAAATCATCCATTACTTATTCTACATGTATATATTTTAGGGTTACCTTTTACATATCTTTTGCAAAAATGTGCACACGGAATACTCTTTTTTTGTATTTATTTTGTGTTCACAACTCTCTTTCTCTTTGCACTAATTCCTAGGTGAAGTCTCTGACGTCTCACCGTCTGATCGAACCCACTTTCCACCTGGAGGAGAAGATCTGCAAGAAACACGAGCGTCTCCTGGAGATCTACTGCCGCAGCGACCACACCTGCATCTGCACGGCCTGCGCAGAGGCCTCGCACAAATCACACGACCTCGTCTCCGCCGAGCACGAGTGGAAGAAGAAGATGGTGAGCTGTAGCTAAAGATTCTGAAGTAACGATAAGGGACAAACAATTACGAAAACTAAGTGTACTTTTTGATTGATTGAATGGCTTTATGTCAATGGATTTAGATTCTCCTGCCATATGCGTTGATATTAATTCCACTTATCCACAATCCTGATTCTCTTCCTGCAGAGTAATCTGGGAAAGAAGAGGTCGGAGCTCAAACATTTGATCAAGGAGAGAACCAAGAAACTGGACGAAATCAAACAATCCATCAAGGTCATCAAGGTGAGTCGGCTGAGGGCTAACACAGATCTCTGCTGTGTGTTGTCAGACAATCAGACAGTTTTGGTGTCAATTTTCAACTCTTTTAAGTGAGAGCAGCAGCTATTCTGACAATGTGTGTACAGTAGCCCCAATTTGATCACATCCACATAGATAATATAAGGCAAAAAAACTGATTTCAAGTTTAAATTTGAAGGCATTTATTGTTTAAAAGTTAAGCCTTTTGACATACATCATAGAAAACGTGCAACACCACGAACAAAAACATGACAAATTGTGAACCAATCAATGGCAAAAGCATTGTCACATTGTGAATTCATAATCAACAGGGTTCTTACGGTCATTAAAAACCTGGAAAAGTCATGGAAATTCAAAATGCTAATTCCAGGCCCTGGAAAAGTTATGGAAAACAATATTTTTCCCAAAGTTTTGGAAAAGTCATGGAAATGTAACTAAAGTTGCATCAAATATAATTTATATTTTATCTAATCGCCAAAATAGTAATACTATAATGATAATAAATACTGTATCGTATAGTAATGAAACGTAAAATGGCATTTAACTGATGAGGTATTTTGCTGGTGAGAGATTTGAGTTGCTCAAGTCTGTAGAAGCTAGTAAGCCTACTATTGGATTTGTTTTAGATAGGCACGACATGTTTCATATGCAGACCTTATTTTACTGTTCCATGTTAAAATAAACCATTTTCAGTGGTACCGCTGAGAAAGAGTAATTTCTTTGGTCATGGAAAATTAGGTAAAGGTCATGGAGAAGTCATTGAAAATCATTGGTGAAAAAGTGTATGAACCCTGAATCAAGTTTAACTGTAAATTATCCTAGTGAAAGGCAGCTTCAAAATGTTTTTTTGCAAATGTAGGGAAAACCGAATCCTTTGGAGACAGCAAATTTAGAGCCACAGACATATTACCATGATGAGTATACATGTAAATTGACATTTCAAAAGAAGTGCATTTAGTAGCATGACAAGTAAAACATTGGACTTATAGCTATAGGATTCACTATAACAGCTAATCCAAAATAGGTAACAACAATTGTGTGACAGTTTAGCTATTCTTCTCACATTGATCCCTCTTACATCTCATCTAATCTGAATATGCCTGGATGTCTTATGAAAGGATGGCACTGCCTGACTTGTAAATCAGTCATTTGAGCCGTTTTAAACCTGCATGTCTTGTGTTTTAACTCTGTCGCTTCCCGTCTCGCCCTGCATGTTAAATATTAACCCAGGTAGCGAGGTAAAGCTTCATTTGCACTTCAAGAACAGTCTGATCCAGAAAAGCACACAGAATGTGAGGAAACTCAGCTGTTGAAGGGCTAATGTTTCAGTTAAGGATACCATACTGTAGATGGATGTCTTCTCGTGCTCTGTAGAGAGAACAGGAGAATGCAGTTTGTTTTTCTCTGGCAGCATCCATGTCTCAGGCCGTCCAACCGGTGCTTCCAGAGTAAACATTTACCTTCTAGTTCCCCACACCCTGTGCGTACCTGCTGCCTGATTCACGTACAACTCACCTCAATAGGGAGAAATGAAAACATTACATAATCAAGTGCTTTGTTCAGTTGAATGATATTTTTTTTTTATTTGCATATACGCACATGTTGAGTGTTGTTCTTGGTTACCTGCTTGGTGACATTATAATCTACTTTTATAAATACAATGAGGCTCATGTTACCACTGTGTGTGTGTGTGTAGTCGTTGTGTGTGGTGTGTGCTGTGTGTGTGTGGCTGTGTTGTGTGTGTGGTGTGTGTGTGTTTGTGTGTGTGTGTGTGTGTGTGTGTGTGTGTGTGTGTGTGGTGTTGTGTGTGGTGTGTGTGTGTGTGTGGTGGTGTGTGTGTGTGTAGTGTGTGTGTGGGTTGTGTGTGTTGTGTGTGTGTGTGTGTGGTGTGTGTGTGTGTGTGTGTGTGTGGGTGTGTGTGTGTGTGTGTGTGGTGTGTGTGTGTGTGTGGACTTTATTCCAGTCAGTAGTGTGTATTGTTTAGGAAAATAAAACCAGGAAATTGAGAATAGAATTTCAAACCTTCGCAGGGTAAGATTGAGACACAATGCTTGGCAGTTCCTTCGATTGGCGGGGGAAAACGTAACCTGTTGGTCCAGTTTTAGAGGCGGCAGACAGACACTCAGGAAAGGCCGCATGATAAAAGAGCTGTGATTACTGAAACTGCAGGTTTAACAGGTTAACATGTTGTACTGTAATTGGTTTTAATGATTTGTTTTAGGCTAACCCTGTAATTTGCAGATATGGGAAGAATGTAGACAACAAAAGCTTTAAGGCGAGGTAGGATTAGACAGACACAATACAAATATGAACATGGAAATTAGCATAATGGGCCCCTTTAAGTCTACCGAACAGATTGCACTCCAGAAAGTGCTCCATCCTATGTTTCCCACAATGCAACCCTTCTTTTTTTTTTTACATTAAACCCTTTCTGGCTGGACCTAAAGTTTGCAATGCACACTTTCTAGTAGATATTCAAGTCAAATCTAAACACAAATCTTGACGTCATTGGGATTCTTTTCTAAGCCTTTAGAAATCTCATTCAGAGCTACAGAAGAAAGTATACATACAGTATTTTGAGGAGACTTATTCACATTCCTCTCCTTCATGTCCCCTCCTTTGCAGGCCAGCTCTCAGAAGGAGTTGGAGGAGAGCTGGCAGGTGTACGCTGAGCTGCAGCGCCTGGTGGAGCAGAGTCAGGCGGAGTTGGTGGAGCTGATCGCCAAGAGGCAGCGCGAGGGCGAGCGCCACGCGCAGGAGCTGGCCCGAGGTCTGGAGAACGAGCTGAGCCAGCTGAGGAGCCGCAGCAACGAGCTGGAGGCGTACGCTCACACCCAGGACAAAGTGCTCTTCCTGCAGGTGGGTGACACTCTCAGGTGACACGCGGCAGCCATGTTGGTAAAGTCCTGAAGATGTGTTTTTTTTTTGCCGACATTGCACTTTCAGTACATTATATAAAGTACAGGACAATTTGTCTGTTAAAGGAAAGAAAAGTACCCATACCCATTGTTTTTATTTTCATATTCAGATGAACTAATTTCAAATGTTAAAACATTTCTGAAGGATTTGTCGGTCACATATTCTTTGTTGTTTTTAAACACAGGAAATAAGGCAGAATGCTCAAATGTTCACCTCTTCTTCATCTTTTGGTGTAGCGCTTCCATTCCTTTCACTACTAATGATGATCAATATTTAAAATCAGGACCACGCTGCAACTGACATTTTAAAAATGCATGCTGGCATATTGAGCAATACTTCATTAGTCAGTTTTCCAGTGTGTAGCCTACATACACAGCATTTATTATGCATTTAGGACAGCAAGGGAGCTAATTAAGTTTAAATCCTCGAGACTCAGCTGCTGCTGCTGATGCTCCACTTACAGTAATGCAAAGACATCCACCTAAACACACTTTATGATTATTGATAATGTTACCAACCAAGCTGGCACTGTATATATATTCAAAATGATCTATTATTCTCACATAATAACCAATTATCTCGCAGACCTCCATGGTTGCGTTAGCCGCAGTTGCTAGGAGATTTGTAACACAACATCAAACGCCTCCAGGAACAGAGCCAGCTGTTATGGAAGTCCCCCCCTTGTGCATTTACCCTGGACTGTTTATGTAGATATAAAGTGGATTTTCTTTCATGAAAGACGTCTTTGAAGTTATTCCAGATAGTATGAGAGGAAGCAAATAAGGCATACAGCTACACATGAAGATTGCAGACAAATCTGTATCTGTTAAACACTTCTTTACTTTGATTTTAAGAGATACATCGCAGTCAAAGTCAACTTTAATGTCAATCTTACTCAGTTTGTGTTTACAGACACAGTAAAGTATAGTCCAGTGGGGGCAGGGGAGAGAGGGGAGGGTAGGGAGAAGAGAGAGTTCAGCCTCCTGACAGCCTGGTGTAAAAATCTGCATACTGTCAAGATGTTTGCCCCATAAAGCTGTAGAAATCATATTTGGTGTTCTTTTCACTGAAAAAAATGTATTTCCGCGGATGGATATTTACATGTTCATTGAGTATTGCCTGACTTAACCATTTCCTGCAGAACCTGGCGACGCTGACACCCTCACCCGAGCCCACCGATTGGTCGGCGGTCAGCATCAACACTGACCTCTACCTAGGAACCATCCGCTCCTCCGTCAGCGGCCTCGTGGATAAATTCCACGAGGAGCTCAAGAGACTGTACGGGAAAGGTGAGGGCGAAAATGAATGTTTCCCTATTTCACGATACATTGCTGTCATTTTTGAAAATTGCGTCACAGTGTCAGGAAATAAAGTAGGGAAATAAACAGGAATGTGTCACAAACCTAATGACAATGTGCAAGTTCCCATTACAAACTGATAGGATTGTACAAAATAAAAGGAACACCTTTTTGTAATTCAACTATCCTACAAAAATATGGCTGTAAAAAGCTCATAAGCATATATTGAACAGCTGTTGTACTGGATTGTATTGTAAGTTGTTCTTGTTATTTTGTCCACCCCCTGTTTAACAAAACTCCACATGGCTGATTTTATACTAACACTCGTATTTAAAAAAAAATACATAAATGGATGAAAATGCAGTTTAATGTGCCATTTTCAAACTTTGATTTGGAAAATAAAAGCCTTTCAAAAGTTGTAATTTCAAAATAAAAGCATTCGGCAGGCCCCTTTTTTATATTGTAAATGCAAAGTGAAAACAAAATCCACCCTTCCTCGTCTGATATACACCACATATCCTGCACAAAATCCTAAAACAGCGACATATACTGTAGGTCAGTGTACGAGCACTTTGAAATAGAAATGTGACTCATCACTGCGCCACACGCTCACACACACACAAGATGGTAGGACAGATGGAGATAGTGTTGATGCCACAGTTCAGCCACTTGGAATCAGCGAGAGATGAGTGACAGCAGCACATGTCTCTCAGCGTTTATAGCTCTGGATCAGATGCATGTTTACCACCCACACGTGCCATCTGCTTCCACTTTGACACCATTACTCTATAGACGAATGACTCGCTAACACGGTCTCTATCTCTTTCTCTCTCGCAGAGCTCCGGAAGGTACAGAACTATTCAAGTGAGTACATTTATTTTTGTTTTTTTTCCAAGGCTGGTTTGTTCTTATAAAGGATTTTTGAAAGTACAAAACTTGATGTTCAGTTCTCTAAATTGCCCACAAGATGGCCCTACTTCTTCAGATCCAAACGCAATCCAGAGGCATGTAGCCAGTGTCAAATGTACTGTAATCATTGGACAATATAATTTAAAATGGAAATATTGTACTTTTTATTCCAGTAAATGCATTTCTACAGATATTTTAAATATAAATTTAAGATTTTCATTGACATATGACAATAAAGCCTTTGAATCTGGAATCTAGATACCTTGATTTAACATAAAATCATTAAATACATTATTTATAAAATATAATAATACCAGTTAAATGTCTTGCAATCCCACACAAGTCTTTTGACTGGGAAGTTTGAATTGCGCAAAGCTTCAGCAAACATTTACCACGACTTTTACTTGTAATGCAACATTGTGCAATAGCAATTTTTACTGGAGTTAAGGATCTAAGAACTTCTGCTCCACCCATTTTGAATGTTATCAGTTCATTATATGACCGTTATCAGTTGTTACCACTACGGTTATAATGCTACATACAGGACATACTGCACCTACTGTTGGGGTTATTAACACAGGGTTAAGGTTGTGAATTGGAATAACAGTACTTGGTTTGATTTAGACACCAATTGTACATGGTTAGCCTTAGGAAAAGATCAAGGTTAAGGTTGAATTAAGACATTTTTTACGTAACTTAAGTGTTAGTTTAGTTCATTACATGAACTAGGTTTAAACCTCTGCTGTGGAAATCAGACTACTGAGTCAATTAGGAGCAATAGAGCCATACCACCTTAAATCTATGCACCCAATAATAATGGCCATTTAATCAACTGATAACATTGGTCTATCATTAAATTAAGAGTGCCATAACAACTGTAACAGGGACATTTTTGACAGTCTTTATACATGTTTACTGTTGCACCAAGCAGACACGTGACAGACAATCCATTATTATGAAACTGTACATTTTGTTATATAATGTTTTATTATTCTTCGATTTCCAGGTGAGGTGATTTTAGACCCTGCCACGGCCCAGAGGAACCTGGCTGTGTCCGAAGACGGCCGCCAGGTGAGATACGAAGAGCGTAAGTCCTCCCACACCGAGGGTCCCAAGCGCTTCAGCCCCGCCCTCTTCGTCCTGGGTCGAGAAGGCCTCACCTCCGGGCGCCACTACTGGGAGGTGGACATGGGGCGCAAGACGGCCTGGACGCTCGGCATGGCCAGCGCCTCGGCCCGACGCAAGGGGGAGATCAAGCTGAGTCCCGAGGGGGGGTTCTGGTGCCTGTGGCTGAAGAACGGGGAGGTGAAGGCTTTGGCTTCGTCCCGCCTCCCTCTGCTGCTGCCGTCCCAGCCCAGTAAGGTGGGAATCTTCCTGGATTACGAAGGGGGCCAGATTTGCTTCTACGACGTGAAGACGCGTCTGCATCTCTACACGTTCGTGGATACCTTCAACGAGAGTCTGTACCCGATCTTCAGCCCCTGCCTCACCCAGGAGGGGAAGAACTCTGCGCCTCTCATGATAAGCTCTGTTAAACACACCTGAGATCAATTCAACAGGTTAAGTGCCCATACTTTTTATCGCACTTTATCTCGATCATCTTAATAACAAAGCCTCAAAGCAAGACATTTTTCATGTCAAAACTACCCAGTACAACATTTTCTCATAGTATGGGCACGTTATTGCATTAGTTTAAGCTAAATTAGGCTCAATACAGATATTTTAAGGGACAATGACTAACAGAGTGACTGTTTCAAAGTAATACAACCAAAGCATTGTGAATGTTTGGTGTGTTTGGATCCCAGGAAACCAAAATGTAAGAGATGTATTTACAATTTGGTTATTTCAAAGTTACAAATTGTTGCCTCATCCTGTATACCCTTATCTTAAAGTGGACCTATTATGCTATATTTGAAAAATATATTTTAGGGCCATACCTATACAAAACATGTCTGTGAAGTTTTTTGCTTTAAATACCAAACAGATCACCCATTGTAGCCATGCCTCATACTGCTCATACCCCTCTATTCCAGCGCTGTTCCAAAAAGGCTGATTCTGCTTTAAATGGAACGGCTGCTGCTAGCCACGCCCCCTTTGTAGCGTCACGCAGCTTTCCCCTGCTAAGAGAGTTTTCTACCGGGAGAAACTCAGCTAAACGCTGGAGTGATTAAATGCCATATTATGCTCCCAACCACTTGAAGCATTATTTCTGAAACAGTATGGAGCTCAAACGTTTCTCTCTCGCAGGGTTTACCGCAAGGACATTACGTTACACATATTCTCTCCAGTAGCCTACAGCGTTAGCTTTGCGTTAGCATGCTTGCTAATTTAAACAGAAGATATTACTCCCAAAACACGCCGTGCATTGTTTCTGATACAGCACATAGCTTGACATGCTCTTTCTTAAGTGTTTACCGCTAGAACAGTGCCATTATATGTATTATATATAATAACTTTACTCTAAGTGCCTCCTGCAGACTGCTGAATTCACAGACACACAGCTGCGAGAGGGGATTCAGCTAGACGACTGTATACGGAGACGATAGGTTGGGACGTGTCACGTGTGCCGTAGACGATAGGTTGGGACGTGTCACGTGTGCCGGATGTCGCCAATGACGTACTGTAATAGGAGCCAAAATCCAGGATCTGCTTGCTTGCAGATTTTTTTTGTACATACTGAAACTGTAGGACTCTGTATGACATTGTTAACAATGGCTGTTTTTAAACATGTTCCGACATTGAAACCATGTTCTGTATTTTTATATCAAATGTCTGCTTTTGTACCCTTTTTCCTAACTTTCTAATAAAGATTATCAATCACAAATAATGCAGAATTGTCCTCCTTGATGCTGCACTCATAAACATAATATATGAAAATGCTAAGCTAAGCTAAGTAGCTGCTAACTAGCATTCAGCTACCACCTACAAGTGGTAAACAAAGTAGCAAAAAACCCATACAATAAATTGAAAGCAGCCAGGAAATACAAAAGTAGTTAAATCCAAAATAGTTTTATTGTCATCTTACATTACAAAACTCACATGATGCCTTAAAAAACTACAAATATGGCCTGAACAGATCAACCATAACTCCACTGCAGAAGAGTTTGAAGCCATTACTCCTGCCAGGGCCAGAGGGTATACATTTGTATCTGGGGTAAAAAGAGGGGAGGAGGGGGGATATATTTTGGGTCTTTTGGAGGGGGCAGTGGAGGTGGCAGTGGTTATAGCCTGTCTCATGTGTCAGTGTACAGCGGAGCTCTGAGGCAGCTGCTCTCTGGTGAGTGCTTCTGCTTTTTCGTCTTCTTGCCCTCCACTGCATTTTCATTTCCTTACCATCACATCTCTGTGCACCAGTAGATCTATTTGGGGAGTGTTGTTTGTATAATTTGTATTACTGATTGGCAGTAAGTGTATATGATCTGTGCTAAGGACTTTTCTCTGTAGTAGTTATACAGAATAAACCCTTCTATCAAGTTTTGTTTTTCTGTTTCCATGTCAGCATAATCCAGATTATTGTTTAGAGTACAGCTAAACAGGTCACTGGCTAAATTAATATTTTTGGAAAGTTGTTAATCCGGCCTGCTGTGAATAAGTGCACTAGGCCTCGTCTCGAGCAGAGAGCTGCTTATTTTAAAAGTCAAACTCACTTACGGCTTCATACACACTCAAAATAAATCAACAAGCGTGATATATTTAGCTGCAGCTTAAAGGGGACCTATCATGCAAAATGCACTTTTGTACGTCTTTTATACATGAATATGTGTCCCCGGTGTTCCAGGGAACTCACCAAGTGTAAGAAAACACAACCCTCTCTATTTTCCTCCATACCCAAATCTCTAAAAAAGGGGCTGATAAAAACTGATCCAGATTTGAACACTGTCCTGACATCAGGACAGTGGCGCTACGGCTATTGGGCCAACTCCACCAATCAGGAGGAGACAGCCACAGCCATTGCCGTTCGAAAGCGCTGGAGACGCTGTAGTACATATGCCAGGCCTGTAAGTGGCGCTGTTCTCACATAATCTGCCCAGAGCTAGAAATTGTCAAATTGAGCAAAATGAGGCATGGCTAAAATGCATGATCTGTTTGGTATTTTGAAAACAGAAACGTATAAATATACCTTATATAGGTATGGTCCTACACTATATTATTCAAATATAGCATGATAGGTCCACTTTAAGTAAAGAGACACATGACTTGTTCAGAAAGCAGATCTTATTTAAATATTAAATGCAGGATAAGGATAAGATTATCACAAATATATAGATATTTATTGGTCAAAATGGCCAAAAATATGTTTGAGGTAACTTTAAAACAGTGTTGCCATAATGTTGTTCGTCCGCCAGAGAATGCTGAAAAGTTTTTTTTCCGACTCTTATATATTCCACTCAATATATTCTAAAAATGCTTTTGTAATGTGTTTAAATTAAATACCAATTCATTATCTTTGCAAAGCTGCTCCATTTTTATCTTGCAAGCCAATCAGAGCAGTTTCATTCTTAAAGAGAGAGGCGTCAAAACGGAGCGTTTTAAACCGAGGCCTTGTTTTTAATTAGACAGTATGAGAAAAATAAAGTATTTTTTGAACAATAAATATGTAAACATGCTTAGTAGAAACCTAAAATGCAAGTATGAACCTGAAAACGACAATGATATGTCTCCTTTAAAAATGAATAAAAGGGTTAATAATATAAACAACAGTCCCCAAATCTTGCAAGGGCTCATTTATTACAAACCGAGATATTTCCGATATCTGGCTTGAGTTTGAGATAATAAATGAGTCCTGTCATGCTTTGCTTCATAATTTTGCATGAAATGACCTCACCTAAAGTCATGCCATCTAACCCGAGCGCCCCTTAATATCACAGCAGGTTTGATGCCCGGTTCAGAGCCTGGTTGCTTGCGCTGAAAATGACCCTGCCAATCTGCTGTGCAGGAATGGCCTCCACCGGGAACCTTTCTGAAGAGCAGGTGCACTGCTCCATCTGTCTGGACGTCTTCACCAACCCCGTGTCCATCCCCTGCGGACACAACTTCTGCCAGGGCTGCATCCTGGGATACTGGAAAACCAGCCCTTTGTACCAGTGCCCTATGTGTAAGAAGACTTTCTGCAAGAGGCCGGACATTAGCATCAACACGGTGCTGAGGGAAATCGCAGATCAGTTCAAGGAGATCAGGGTTAGAAGTGCGGAAGAAAAGGTGAGCGAGGAGGTGGAAGGCGTGAGGGAGAAGAAGTGGACGATGGAAAGAAAGAAAAAGGAGGATGAGGAGAGGCTTTTGGAGGAAGAGCAGAAGCAAGATGTTCGGGTGGAGCAAGAGGAGGTGAGAAGTAAGGAAGAGAAAAAGCTTCTCCCAGAGGATTTACCACCGCTTATCCCCCCTGTGCCAGCACCCAAAAGATCTCCTCCACCCTCACTAGATCAGGAACCACCTCCACTGCCCCAAAGATCCCCCCCACCTTCACCTCAAATCCCTGCTTCTTCACCTCCCTCCTCTTCACTCCCACTTCCTGCTTGGGAGGAGGTATTCTGTGATGTTTGCCTGGGCGACGGCAGACCAAAAGCCATCAAATCCTGCCTCGTGTGTCTCACCTCCTACTGCGAGGAGCACCTGAAGGCTCATTCGGCCCGGTTCACCAAGCACAAGCTGATAGAGCCCGTCGCCAACATGGAGGACCGGATGTGTCCGAAGCACGAGAGGCTCCTGGAGCTCTTCTGTAAGAAGGACCAGACCTGTGTGTGCGTCCTCTGCACCGAGACCGACCACCGGGCGCACTACACCGTCCCCGTGGAGAGGGAATGGATGGAGAAAAAGGTAAAAAATCAATCCAAGTTTTCTTATATCAGTTAAAGGGGACCTATCATGCAAAATGCACTTTTGTACGTCTTTTATACATGAATATGTGTCCCCGGTTTTCCAGGGAACTCACCAAGTGTTAGAAAACACAACCCTCTCTATTTTCCTCCATACCCAAATCTCTAAAAAAGGGGCTGCAACGGATCTGATAAAAACTGATCCAGATTTGAACACTGTCCTGACGTCAGGACAGTGGCGCTACGGCTATTGGGCCAACTCCACCAATCAGGAGGAGACAGCCACGGCCATTGCCGTTCGAAAGCGCTGGAGACGCTGTAGTACATATGCCAGGCCTGTAGATGGTGCTGTTCTCACTGAATCTGCCCTTGCAAAAACAGAGCTAAAAAAGGCAAATTGAGCTATGGCTAAAATGCATGATCTGTTTGGTATTTTGAAAAAAAAAAAGTATAAATATGCCTTATATATGTATGGTCCTACACTATATTATTCAATTATAGCATGATAGGTCCACTTTAATAGAGGGGCTTTCAAGGTAGAAACCTCATTGGTGGTGTTTGTTTGATTGAGAAAGCCAAAGAAAATGTGATCTTTCAACTGTCAAAACGAAAATGATTTCCTGATTAGACGCTTGGGGATTGTTGTCATATACACACTGGGAACCATCACTTGATTTTGCCCCTCTTACTTGTAAAAAAGACATTTGAACTAACCATAATATAACACTTTCAAAAAGGTTTATTGTTTTTTTTCCCAATCTTGGAATTGATCTACTCTGACCTCTTACTGATCAACCACATTATATTACCTAAAAGTGTTTATGTTGAAGATCATTTAAAACATGTCCCCACGACATTTTTGGAACAAAGTATTTATATCAGCATGGGCAATGCTACATGCTTTTGCCCCCAAAACCAAAACTACAACAGTAAAAGAAAAGACGGATATGTTTTTGGTGTCATGTTTTTGCCTGCCATCGGCTTTGTTTGTGTGTACAGGCGCAGCTGAAGATGACAGAAATAGACATCCAGCAGATGATCCAGGAGAGAGAGAAAAAGTTGCATGAGATCAAACTCTGCGTGGAAGAAAACAAAGTGAGTCCTGCTGAGCTCAAACGCAGAATGGCCCATTAAACTCCAGTATGATGCATTTAAACAAAAGTTA